CCCCCCCCCCCCCCCCTTTTTTTTAAAACGGTAACTTCTAAACAATTCCAGTATTACGTTAGCAACTTCATAAATTGCAGTATTTTCATTATCTCATTATTATATATACATGTGCATTATACATCTCTCTCTTCAAAAATGTTGATTGTTTATTTAACGTTTCTCTGCTTGTTACATGTTTAAATTCTCTTGGAGATTTTAAGTTAACGTTAAATTGATCGATGAATTTGTTTTGTTAAGAAGCTGGCACTTTTTTATTTCACATAATTTCAAATGTTTGTTCTTTTCTTTTTTTTTTTTTAAAGAAGTAATTTTTTCTCAGAAGTAAGAATTGTTTCTTGTTGGGTCAGTCTGTAAAACTTATGCTTGCAACTATCAGACCTGCCAAGAACTCAGATAAAATTGGAGCCCTCTGATTTTAAAAAATTTGTTTAACCCATTGAAAAACCTCGAGCGGATTTGCGCACAATCCTATTTTTTTCTTGAATTCAGTTGCCGTCAGTCGTACACGACTTACTGTAAAACTTACTGTAATCGACATGGAGATACGTGGGCTTATTCGCAATATTTGTGTGACTATGAGAAATGATGCGACTAGACGGCAGATTTTTATTTGCATTTTCTTTTGCTAGTATTTACTTTACCTGAATTATTTTCTACTTTTGGTTTGTAACGTTATCTTAATCCTTTTGGGTTCTGGAGATTCCTGACTCCTGACTCCACCCCACCCCACCCCCGTAAGCTTTTTTAGGGAAGATTCTGAGGAAAGCTCCTAAGTTTGGTCGGTGTTGCTGGCAGGTCTGCATAACTACCGCTTTCTTACTTTTCTGATGTGTGTCCACATTTCTTCTTACGTCCTATGCACTCATATATGACCTTTTGCAATTGTGTGTGCCTTAAATAAAATATAAAACTCTTACCAAACAATCCACATTTGTGGGTGGTTGGTTGAGGGTGCTGTGCTGTGGTGTGCTTCTTCTTTCCTATCAAACATCTATCGTCTTTATCTCCCCTCCTTCTTATTTTGTGTTTGTTACTCCCTTGTAACACCTCTAATCTTCGGCACTTATATGACCTTATTGTGTTACAAGTGCCGTAAAACTCTTATGAAAATAAAATTAATAAAAAATCCACTTTTCTCATTGTTTGTCCATCTGTAATAGCGTTTTCTTCAACGACATTTTTGTTTTCCCTCCTCCCCCAGGAAGCGTTGGCTGAGGAGAAGCGCATGCAGTCTCGGTACGCCAACGACATCGAGATCGCCAAGTCTCAGCGAGACTTTGAGCTGAAGAAGGCCGCCTACGACATGGAGGTCCAGACCAAGAAGGCTCAGGCTGATCTGGCTTACAACCTGCAGGTGAGGGGCTACACACACACACACACACGCGCACACACACACACACACACACACACACACGTGCACCGACACGCACACACACACACACACACACGTGTACTCGCACA